CAGGGACAGGGTGGCCTGGGTCACAGTGGTGGGACGGGGCCATGGGGTGACTGGGAACAGACCCGCCGTGGGAACGGGCAGGGCGGGGAGCTGGTGCGGGGTGGAGCTGAGGCCCGGAGCAGGGCAGCAACTCACCGGGGGAGGCTCTGGCAGAGGGAAGCATCAAACCTGGCTCTGTGGGGTCCCAGCCCAAGGCCATGGAGCAGGGCAGGGCCGGGCTGGGTCAGTGACGCCTGTTCTCCATCTCGCAGGCTTCCCCTCGTCCCTTCAGAGCATTCCCGAGCTCATCAAGTACCTGACCATGTGGATCTACTGCTGCTCGGCCCGGCACGCCGCCCTCAACAACGGGCAGGTAGGGAGAGGCCAGCCTGGGCGCTCGGGGCCCCATTCCCTGCCCCCCACAGGGCCCTGGGGTCCCACCACCGACACCCCCACCCTGCCCTGCACAGCAGCCTGGGGTCCAGCCACTGACACCCCCACCCTGCTCTCCCCACATGGGCCCTGGGGTCCAGCCACCGACACCCCCACCCTGCCCCCCACCCCACTGACACCTCAATCCCCAGGACCCTGCCCTAGCAGCCAATCCCCCACCCAGCACCCAACCCCAGTGAGACCCCAGACACTGTAGGACCCTGCTCCAGCCCCCTAAGACCCTCCCATACTGCCACACTCAGCACCCCCAACCCCCGCCTTGACTTTCCTAATCATTGCCCATGGGTGAGACTCTGACCAAGCCCCGGGGGCCCAGGTCTCTTTGCTGAGCCAGACCTTCCCTGTGCTTGTGGCCCCTGGGTGGGGTGAGGAGGGGATCCCAGCTGGGCTGGGCTGGGGGGGGGGTCTCCTGCTGCTCTGACTGCGGGGGTCTCTCTGGGCCGCAGTACGAGCTTGGAGCTTGGATGCCCAACTTCCCGGCCACCATGAGGAACCCCCCGCCCCAGGCCAAGGGCACCATCTCTCTGGAGAGCTACCTGGACACCATCCCGGAAGTCAACAGCACCAGCACCATCCTCTTCACCCTCTGGGTCATCTGCTGTGAGCCGGGGGACTCGGTGAGGACACGGGAGCTATGGGGCACTGTGGGGCAGGGAGCAGGGCGGGGGCAGCAGGGGGCACTTTCCCCTGGCTGGCAGGGCTGGCCCCAGAGTGGCGCTGTGCTGCGGCTGGGGGTGTCTCTTTAATGAGCCATTCAGCTGAGTTCTTCCCCCACCCTCCCCCCCGTGGTAACAATAAAGGACCCGCTGACATTTCACCTGAGCCGGGGCATGAACCCAGGTGTCCCAGCCCAGCTGCACTTTGGGGGATTCCATTCAAACACCCATAAATTCCACTGTGTTGTTTCAACCGGCAGCAGGATTCTCCTTCCCTCCCTGGCCTGAACTCCTCCCAGTTTTGCAACAGAGCTGTTAAACAGCTGCCCTGCACTCTAGGGCACATGAGGGATCCTTGTGTAACCAGCTGCCCTGCCCCAGAGGTGGGCGCATCTCAGCGTCGGGTGAGGGATCCTTGTATAACCAGCCGCCCTGCCCCAGAGGTGGCTGCATCTCAGCGCAAGGCGAGGGATCCCTGTGTAACCAGCCACCCCACCCCAGAGGTGGCTGCATCTCAGCGCTGGGCGAGGGAGCCCTTCCGTGCTGTCCCTCACCGCTCTCCCATTCCCTTGCAGAGATCCCTGGGCACGTATCCCGACGAGCACTTCACGGAGGAGGAGCCCAAGCGGCTGATCGCAGCCTTCCAGGGGCGCCTGGCCCAGATCTCCCAGGAGATCCAAGAGAGGAACAAATCCCTGCCCATCCCCTACCGCTACCTGGATCCCCACCAAATTGAGAACAGCACGTCCATCTGAGCCCGACCAGCAAGCCCCAGGGACAGGCCCCCTGCGGCCGCTGGCAACTCTGTCCCGGGAGCAATAAACCACAGCCTGGCTCCACTCTGAATGGCTGATTCTGTCTAGTGGGGTACAGCACGGGGGGCTGGGAGCCAGGACTCCTGGGTTCTCTCCCTAGCTCTGGGAGGGGAGTGGGGACTGGTGGGTTAGAGCAGGGGGGGCTGGGAGCCAGGACTCCTGAGTTCTCTCCCCAGGTCTGGGAGGGGTGAGGGTAGGGCCACCCGGGGGGGGCAAGTGGGGCAATTTGCCCCAGGCCCTGGGCCCCGCAGGGGCCCCCACAAGAGTTTTTCGGGGCCCCTGGAGCGGGGCCCTTCACTCGCTCCGGGGGCCCCGGAAAATTCTCATGGGGCCCAGGCCCCAGGAGCTTCTTCTGCTCCAGGTCTTCGGCGGCAATTCGGCAGTGGGGGGTCCTTCCGCCCCGGGACCAGCCTCCGAAACACTGGGTCTTCGGCAGCAATTTGGCGGGGGGGGCCCCCGCCGCCGAAGACCACAGGCCCCCTGAATCCTCTGGGTGGCCCTGGGTGAGGGTTTAGAGCAGGGAGGGCTGGGAGCCAGGACTCCTGGGTTCTCTCCCTGGCTCTGGGAGGAGAGTGAGGGCTGGTGGTTAGAGCAGGGGGGTCTGGGAGCCAGGATTCCTGGGTTCTTTCCCCAGGTCTGGGAGGGGTGAGGGGGCTGGTGGTTAGAACAGAGGGGGTCTAGTGGTTAGAGCAGGGGCATGGGAGCAAGGACTCCTGGGTTCTCTCCCCAGCTCTGGGAGAGGAGCGGGGTCTCGTGGGTTAGAGCAGGGAGGCACGAGGCTCAAGTGTAATCATCCAACCAACATCAAGCCATTTGTCTATGGGTAGCAAAATACCTGTGTGTCCAAACCCTGCAGTGGACAGGAAGGGGTTAAAGGACAGCTGTGGCTTTAATTAACCCTGATCAGCAATTAAGGCCCAGGAATTATGAGCTATTACGATTGAAGAACTGCCCCGGCCCCAAGGCCTTTGAGAAAGCCAGAACAGAGGACTAGGAGAATAAACCCCCCACCACCCTGGTCTAACTGCTAGATTTCTTCCATCTACCTCAAAGCCGCTGCTGTCTTTTAGTGCAGCTTGAGAGATTTCTGCTTTTTCCCTGGCTGCGAACATGTACGTGCAGGGCTGGCTTTAAGCCGATTCGGCCGATTCCCCGGAATAGGGCCCCGTGCCTAAGAGGGCCCCGCAATGTCCGGGGCTGCCAGCGGAGCGGGAAAAAAAAAAAAGCCGCGTCCTGCTTCTCCCCCCTCCCTCCAGCGCTTGCGCCACCATACAGCTGATCAGCGCAAGCCTGGGACGGAGGGGTGAGGAGGAGGAATGCAGTGTGCTTGGGGAAGACGCGGGGCCAGGGTGGGGATTTGGGGAGTGATCCAATGGGGCAGTGAGGGGCGGGGCTGGGGTGGGGCCAGGGCGGGGATTTGGGGAGGGATCCAATGGGGCAGGGAGGGGGCGGAGCCGGGGCAGAGTTGGGGCGGGGGGGGCACGAGACAGTTCGCGTCCTGGCATGGGGCCCCGCACCTGCTAAAGCCGGCCCTGTGTACGTGAATTCAAAAGCCCATGAAATGAACATCAAAGATGGATGTGATACGATGTCCTGGATACCATCATCGAAGAGGGAACCTGATGGAATTGGATATTCTAATTAAAAGGTGTATAAAAGGACAAATGCAGAGTCCTGCACTTAGGACTGAAGAATCCCAGGCACTGTTACAGGCTGGGGACCAACTCGCTAAGCAGCAGTTCTCCAGAAAAGGACCTGGGGGTTACAGTGGACGAGAAGCTGGATATGAGTCAGCAGTGTGCCCTCGTTGCCAAGAAGGCTAACGGCATATTGGGCTGCATTAGTAGGAGCATTGCCAGCGGATAGAGGGAAGTGATTATTCCCCTCTATTCGGCACTGGTGAGGCCACACCTGGAGTATTGTGTCCAGTTTTGGTCCCCCCACTACAGAAGGGATGTAGACAAATTGGAAAGAGTCCAGCAGAGGGCAATGAAAATAATCAGAAGGCTGGGGCAGATTACTTACAAGGAGAGGCTGAGGGAACTGGGGTTATTTAGTCTGCAGAAGAGAAGAGTGAGGGGGGATTTGATAGCAGCCTTCAACTACCTGAAGGGGGGTTGCAAAGAGGATGGAGCTCGGCTGTTCTCAGTGGTGGCAGATGACAGAACAAGGGTCTCAAGTTGCAGTGGGGGAGGTCTAGTTTGGATATTAGGAAACACTATTTCCCTAGGAGGGTGATGAAGCACTGGAATGGGTTACCTACAGAGATGCTGTTCTCAGTGGTGACAGATGACAGAACAAGAAGCAATGGTCTCAAGTTGCAGTGGAGGAGGTCTAGGTTGGATATTAGGAAACACTATTTCACTTGGAGGGTGGTGAAGCACTGGAATGGGTTCCCTAGGGAGGTGGTGGAATCTCCATCCTTAGAGGTTTTTAAGGCCTGGCTTGACAAAGCCCTGGCTGGGATGATTTAGTTGGGGATTGGTCCTGCTTTGAGCAGTAGGTTGGACTAGAAACCTCCTGAGGTCTCTTCCAACCCTGATATTCTCTGATTCTATGATTCTGTGGAGCACCCAGTATGTGACACCCTGCCATCTTCAGCACATTTGCTTCCCGAAACCCTGAATTCACCTGGAAGTATGTAGACTGAGGTCTTGGGTTGGCCACCCTGGGAGCCCTCGTGGTGACCCCAAGTACCTGTAGCTGTCTCTGTTTCCCAGCAATGCGGGTGGGTTAGGGTTAGGGGTCCATTTGTTTTGTTTGGCTGTAAATGTCCAAAACAAAAATTAGTTTGTGGTTTGGCCTGGGATTATTTTGTTATTATTTTGTAGAATTGCCAGGGACCAAACTTTCCCGGCATCCCACGGGCCTTGTTCTCTGCCAGTTTAGTCTCCCAAGAAGTTAAATACTTTTACCTAGCTAAAATATCTGGCTTAATACAGGGATATCGGGGTGAAACTGACTAGCCAGGAAATCAGATCTAACAAACTCTGAAATCAGAACTCCAGCAAACAGGTTTCCTCCCAGGGCTGGATTACCCAATACGCAGACTAAGCATGTGCTTAGGGCACCAGCAAAGCAGAGGGCACCAAAAAAAATTAGATTTTTTTTTTAAATTTGATATTTGATATTTCAAAAAAAGCATCAAAGTAGTCATCATGGGAAAAATCAGAACGTTGTTAGACTTCCTTACACTCCACTCCACACTCTTCCCCCGTTTTTCTGTTCTCTTTTTATTACTTATCCCCACCTAAACCAGGGGGGCGTCCTACTAATGTAAATCGAAATAATGCGAGGAAATCAGATCCTATCATGTATTGCAATAAATTTATGTTTTATTATTGATATATTCTTCTGAGTTATACGTACTTGATTCATTTTTGTTCTTTCTTATATATATATATATATATATATATATATATATATATATATATATACACATAAAAATACATGCGTCTGACGAAGTGGGTATTCACTCACGAAAGCTTATGCTCCAATACTTCTGTTAGTCTATAAGGTGCCACAGGACTCTTCGTCGCTTTTTATAAAAATAGTGCACGTTGTGTAATTTATTTATTTTTTAAGTTCAGATAACTGAGATAAGGGGCAGGATGTTAGAGTCCAGTTACTTTATACATTTTTCTCTGCCTCAACACATCAATGGGCAGTTCTTAAAACATATTTGGGCAATGATCGTGTGTTGAAATCTCTAATACTCGCTGGGAGGCACATGCAGTGGCAACAAGTGCAATTCTGGAGTCCTACTCAAAGATTGTGGATGCATTAGAAAGTATTGCTGAAGACCAATCACAAAAGGGAGAAACTATACGAGAGGCAGAAAACATTGCAAACAAGATGCAAGAACTAGAGTTTGTATTCATGTTGACCATGTGGAATGAAATTTTACAACACTTTTACCACACAAGTCAAGCTCTCCAAGAAAAAGAATTGGATTTGAAAACATGTGCAAACCTCTGTCAATCATTAGCAGACCACTTACACACTTTGAGGAATGATTTCGAAAGATTTGAAGACATATCAAAAGATATTTTGCCTGATACTAACTACAAAGAAGCTCAGTCCCGCAAGCGAATCAGGAAAAAACAAGCAAATGATAGCAGTGGAACAGAAACAGCACTGAATCCTAGAGACAAATTTCACGTATCTACTTAATACGCTATAATTGACACACTTGAAGCTTATATGAAGAGGAGAGGTGAAGTGTACAAAGAAGTATCAAGTAGACTTTCTTTTCTAAATGATATGGACTTATCTGATGAACAATATTCACAAGGTTCCCAAAAGCTAGTTGACTCATAGCCTGTTGACTTAAACATGAATCTCTGTGGAGAAGTACGGCAGTTCCACTGTTATATGCGCACAAAGTTTAATGAAACAGGAAAAATGAAATTCAGTCACATTGATCTTCATGACACAATATTGAAAGATGGAATACAATGTGTATTTCCAAATGTAGAGATCGCACTACGTATTTTTCTAACATTGATGATTACCAACTGCTCTGCAGAACGCTCTTTTTCTCAGCTGAAAAGAATAAAAAACCCTCAGAGAACAACAATGTGTCAGGACAGACTTGATTCACTTTCCCTATTATGTATGGAAGCAGACATGCTTCGTCGAGTCAGCTTCGATAAACGTATCCAGAATTTTGCAATCAGAAAATCTAGAAAGAAGCTATTTTAATTTCAGCGTACATGTAAGTTTTGTGTCATTTCGAAAAATAAAATTTTATTTTACAGTATAGTATTGCTTTTATTTTGAATTACATGGGGGGGGCACCATAATCTTTTCAGTGCTTAGGGCCTCTAAAGGTCTTAATCCGACCCTATTTCCTTCCCAAACTTTCCAGGAAAATACCACCCTGGGCTACGCACCCCCATATGAAATGGGGTGTGTGAATGCTTGGAATCCTTTGTCTCTCTGGGTC